AAAAAAAAAAAAAAAAAAAATCTTAAATCTTTTTGTTTCCCCCTTCCACTCTTTTCTTAACCTTGAGTGTGGTGTTGAGTTAATCACATTATTCACTCCACGAATCATTACAATCATGAGCTGTGAAAGACTGCACTCATTTGCTTATTTTTGTTTTCCTGTTCATTCCCATTCCCTCTTTGTTCCCCTCCATTTCATAAGTTCACATTAAAATGTGATATATCCTTGGATAAATACATTTACTGGTAAAATATTGTTTCTGCATGTATGTGTTTTGATGCTACAGATCCATATTTTTTACTTTTTTAATATAAACATTGTTTTTTAGATCTATCTATGTTGCTATAGCTACATCTTTATATGTAAACACGTTTCTAAATGACACACAGTATTCCACAGGATGTAATTGCCATATTTTACCTATCCATTTGCTTAGTGGTTGCCTTCAATTCCCTAGTTCTACAAACAGCCTCACTCTGCAGAGACAATCACTAACTTGAAGTTAGGGTGTATCATTTCTGGAAATGTTATTTTACCCTTTTGTAATACATACACACATACATACAAATATATACAATATATACATGCTATTCCTTTACTACCTGTATTGATTACGGATACATATATATATGGACATGTATTTATACCCATAATCAACACATACTATTGTTTAAGACATTTGAAATGTATATAAATGTATCACACTGTAATCTTTTGTACCTTGTTATTGCATTCCACATTATATTTTTACCTTGGTTGTTGAGTGTGAAGTAGTATCACATTGTTTTAACTTGCATTTTTCTGATTGCTGTGACTTTTGAAATGTTTATTCACATCCTTTGCCCAATTTTCTATGGGTTTTTATTTATTCTTATTGACACTTAGTTAATGTATCCTTGACACTAATCTGGTGTCAGTTATGGTATATGGATTGTAAATGTCTTCTCACAGACTATGGACTGCCTTTTCATTTGACTTACATTGTTTTTTGTAACAGAAGTTACATAAGCTTTCTGACCTCATCTCCTATTACTTTCTTCCTTGCTTACTCTGTTCCAGGTATACTAGTATAAAAGATTGTAAAAATCACCACAAATTTTTCCCTCCCTACAATCACACCTTTACAAAATGACATTGAAAATCTTCCTATCAAGAGGGGAATCTATTTTCCTATCCTTTGAATTTGGGTTGACCAGGTGATCTGCTTTGTCAAGGGGGATTAACAAATATGATTCAAGAGGGCCTTGAGCAGTATTTGCATACTGGGATTTGCTCTCTTGCTATTCTTGGGAACATTGATCATGGCCAAGTGAAGAAGAACTAGTCTTGTTACCCTGGTGAAGAGCCTACCAACTGCCAGACAGGCTGACCATCACTTCAGACTACTAGACCATCCTGTCAGTAGACCTACCAGCTGGCTAGAGACACACAGGCAAGTCCAGTTGACATCAGCCTAGCAGGCCCAGACAAGAACACCTGCTCTGTTGGCCCACACCATCATAATCTAAATAAATTATTGCTTTGAGCCACAAAGTTTTGGAATGGTTTGTTACTCACCAATAGATAACAGAACCATTTAGCTTCCTTGCTGTTCCTCAATTACGTACCCACCTTTGAAGGGGCTAGTTTTTTACTTGGAACACTTGGTCCCTATATTGTACATCTAATTTGTTTACATCCTTCATCGCTTTGCTTAAATTTCAACCAATCAGTAAGGACAACTCTGAATACTCTATTTAAAACTGCAATCCCACAATCAGCCCCAGCATTCCAGACTTTGCTTGTCCTGATATACTTTTTTCATTTTTCTGTAGCACTTATTGCCTCCTAACATACTATAAATTTTACTTACATACTATGTTTATTTATTGTCCACTTATTCCTGCTAGAATGTAAGTTCCAAAAGGACAGAGGTCTTCAACTGATGTATGCCCTGTATCAAGATCAGAGACTGACACACAATAAATGCTTGCTAAATAGTTATTGAATGAATGAATGGAGTCAATGTTCTAGAGAATGGATTCAATGTTCTCAATGTTCTAGAGAAGCCTATTAGGTAAAGTTTTTAATCACATAATTCATATCTTCTATTTCCTTACTCATTTTCGTTTATTTGGTCTATCAGCCACTAAAAGAGTTGAAATCTTTACTATGATCGTGGACTTGTCTACCGTGTCTTATATTTCTGCCAGTTTTTGCTTCAATATCTAGTGTTTTTACTACAAAACAATTTTAAAAGAAAAGTTTTAACAAAATTATAAAACGTTCAAGCAAGATAGTCTTTTTTAAATGTCCTAAATCAGATAAGTTTTCACTTAAATTTTCTGAATAGTGCTAATTAAAATATTATTTAATGATAGTAAAAATAATAACCAAGACTGGGGCTGTTTATTATATACTTACTGTTCTAATACTGTTTTAATTCTATTATTAATGGTTAGGCAGCCTACAAAAGTTATTCTACTAAAGATGAAATAGGCATAACAGAGGACAGTAAATAAGAGTTCCAGTAATAAATATAACACATCTATATAACAGTAT